TGGCAGCGCAGTTGATGAACAGTGTGCGAAAGGAACTTGGTGAGAGTGTTGTGAATGACTGCATTCGTAAGGGTGAACTTGACAAGCTCTTGGAGAAACAGAAGGAAAAGATCTGGCAACACGGCAGTTCACTGACAACAGATGATCTAATCAAACAAGCCACGGGGGAGTCCCTTAACCCTGAATATTATCGTAAGCACCTTGAGCGTCGTTACCGCGATGATGCCAACTAGATACTACCAATATTTAGGTGCTTGTGATACAATTCTATTTATTTTCATTTTTATTTTTATGTTTCCTTTTGTTTTTGTTTTACACTTGTACTTCTGATTGTTGTATTATCTTCATTCTGATTATTTTTCTTTTTTTATTGCGGTATTTATGGGGTATTTGCCATGAAATGAATGATTATTGGGAATTATGAACTTCGTTTTTTTATGTCTTTCTATTTTATTTTACGTCTGAAGAGATCGATGAGTAAATATATTTATATGACTTACTGCATGATACTCTTATGTCCTTGGCGTAAGACTCTAATTTAGTACCGTTGCTCTGGGGCGTATTGCTTTTATCTTTTTCTTTCTACTTATTCTTCTTATCCTCCTGATATCTCTTTAACTTTTACTGTTCCTCAAATAGTGTCTCTTGAGTGAATTGAGCGTAATGATGAAGGCGTACAAGGAATTGGAAAAGGTATTTGCGAAGCTCTACCGTTATGGACACCTGCTCCATCTGGCCGATTGGGATTCCCAGACAATGATGCCTCCAAAGGGGGCGGAGGCAAGAGGTGCTGCCATGGCCGAACTGCAGGTGCATATGCATGAAATTATTACTAGTCCAAAATTACAGCAACTTCTTGCTGAGGCAGAGACTGGCAGTAACGAGCTTGACTTGCTTCAACGTGCCAACCTTCGTGAGATGCGACGGTCATGGGAAATGGAGAACCTTCTTCCCGAAAGTTTTGTGGAGCGAAAAACCATTCTAACAACAAATGCGCAGCAACTCTGGAAGAAATGCCGTGCTGAGAATGACTTTGCTGGCTTCCTTCCAACACTGAAGCAGCTGGTGGAGCTGTACCGTGAAGAAGGGAAGCTGCGGGCTGGGAATTCTGGCAAGCACCCATACGAGGCATTGGTGGATCTCTACGAGCCTGGTATGACGCTGCAGCGGCTGGATGAGATCTTCAACAACGTCAAGTCATGGCTGCCGGATCTTCTTAAGGAGGTGCAGGCGAAGCAAAAGACGCTGAACGCATCTGTTGTGGAGCCCAAAGGACCTTTCCCTGTTGCACAGCAGGAAGCACTGGGCCGCTTCTGCATGGGAGTCTGGAAGTTTGATTTTGATGGTGGTCGACTGGATGTGAGTGCCCACCCATTCTGCGGTAACTCCAAGGAGGATGTCCGTATTACCACAAACTACCGTGAAACTGACTTTGACAAGAGTCTCTTGGCTGTTATCCACGAAACAGGACATGCCAAGTACGAGCAGAACTGTGGGCCAAAGGGATTTGAAACACAACCAGTTTCTATGGCTCGTTCTCTTGGAGTCCATGAGGGTCAGTCTCTTTTTGCTGAAATGCAGATTGGTCGCTCTGGTGCATTTATGGAGTTCCTTACCCCCAAACTCTCAGAGTACTTTGGGAATCAGCCCGCTTTCACCCCTGAGAACATGAAAAGGATTACGCAGCGTGTTGAGCCTGGTTATATTCGTATCTATGCCGATGAGCTGTGCTATCCATTACATGTTATTCTCCGTTATGAACTTGAGCGTGATCTGATAGATGGCAAACTTGAGGCAGAGGATGTGCCAAAGGCATGGAATGAGAAGATGAAGAGCTACCTTGGTCTGGAAACCCTTGGCAATGACAAGGAGGGTTGCTTGCAGGATATGCACTGGGCTGCTGGTTTGTTTGGATACTTCCCAACATATTCTCTGGGTGCCATGGTGGCAGCGCAGTTGATGAACAGTGTGCGAAAGGAACTTGGTGAGAGTGTTGTGAATGACTGCATTCGTAAGGGTGAACTTGACAAGCTCTTGGAGAAACAGAAGGAAAAGATCTGGCAACACGGCAGTTCACTGACAACAGATGATCTAATCAAACAAGCCACGGGGGAGTCCCTTAACCCTGAATATTATCGTAAGCACCTTGAGCGTCGTTACCGCGATGATGCCAACTAGATACTACCAATATTTAGGTGCTTGTGATACAATTCTATTTATTTTCATTTTTATTTTTATGTTTCCTTTTGTTTTTGTTTTACACTTGTACTTCTGATTGTTGTATTATCTTCATTCTGATTATTTTTCTTTTTTTATTGCGGTATTTATGGGGTATTTGCCATGAAATGAATGATTATTGGGAATTATGAACTTCGTTTTTTTATGTCTTTCTATTTTATTTTACGTCTGAAGAGATCGATGAGTAAATATATTTATATGACTTACTGCATGATACTCTTATGTCCTTGGCGTAAGACTCTAATTTAGTACCGTTGCTCTGGGGCGTATTGCTTTTATCTTTTTCTTTCTACTTATTCTTCTTATCCTCCTGATATCTCTATAACTTTTACTGTTCCTCAAATAGTGTCTCTTGAGTGAATTGAGCGTAATGATGAAGGCGTACAAGGAATTGGAAAAGGTATTTGCGAAGCTCTACCGTTATGGACACCTGCTCCATCTGGCCGATTGGGATTCCCAGACAATGATGCCTCCAAAGGGGGCGGAGGCAAGAGGTGCTGCCATGGCCGAACTGCAGGTGCATATGCATGAAATTATTACTAGTCCAAAATTACAGCAACTTCTTGCTGAGGCAGAGACTGGCAGTAACGAGCTTGACTTGCTTCAACGTGCCAACCTTCGTGAGATGCGACGGTCATGGGAAATGGAGAACCTTCTTCCCGAAAGTTTTGTGGAGCGAAAAACCATTCTAACAACAAATGCGCAGCAACTCTGGAAGAAATGCCGTGCTGAGAATGACTTTGCTGGCTTCCTTCCAACACTGAAGCAGCTGGTGGAGCTGTACCGTGAAGAAGGGAAGCTGCGGGCTGGGAATTCTGGCAAGCACCCATACGAGGCATTGGTGGATCTCTACGAGCCTGGTATGACGCTGCAGCGGCTGGACGAGATCTTCAACAACGTCAAGTCATGGCTGCCGGATCTTCTTAAGGAGGTGCAGGCGAAGCAAAAGACGCTGAACGCATCTGTTGTGGAGCCCAAAGGACCTTTCCCTGTTGCACAGCAGGAAGCACTGGGCCGCTTCTGCATGGGAGTCTGGAAGTTTGATTTTGATGGTGGTCGACTGGATGTGAGTGCCCACCCATTCTGCGGTAACTCCAAGGAGGATGTCCGTATTACCACAAACTACCGTGAAACTGACTTTGACAAGAGTCTCTTGGCTATTATCCACGAAACAGGACATGCCAAGTACGAGCAGAACTGTGGGCCAAAGGGATTTGAAACACAACCTGCACGTATGGGTCGCTCTCAGGCTGTTCATGAAGGACAGGCGCTTTTTGCTGAAATGCAGGTTGCTCGCTCTGGTGCATTTATGGAGTTCCTTGCCCCCAAACTCTCAGAGTACTTTGGGAATCAACCCGCTTTCACCCCTGAGAACATGAAAAGGATTACGCAGCGTGTTGAGCCTGGTTATATTCGTATTGATGCCGATGAGCTGTGCTATCCATTACATGTTATTCTCCGTTATGAACTTGAGCGTGATCTGATAGATGGTAAACTTGAGGCAGAGGATGTGCCAAAGGCATGGAATGAGAAGATGAAGAGCTACCTTGGTCTGGAAACCCTTGGCAATGACAAGGAGGGTTGCTTGCAGGATGTGCACTGGGCTGCTGGTTTGTTTGGATACTTCCCAACATATTCTCTGGGTGCCATGCTGGCAGCGCAGTTGATGAACAGTGTGCGAAAGGAACTTGGTGAGAGTGTTGTGGATGACTGCATTCGTAAGGGTGAACTTGACAAGCTCTTGGAGAAACAGAAGGAAAAGATCTGGCAACACGGCAGTTCACTGACAACGGATGATCTAATCAAACAAGCCACGGGAGAGTCCCTTAACCCTGAATATTATCGTAAGCACCTTGAGCGTCGTTACCGCGATGACAGCGGATAAAAGTGCTGTTTAACGATTATTTTAGTTAATATCTTACTGTGGTCTTTGTTTTATTGAGTTTTTGTTTTTTTTTATTTGGTAATTACTGTTAGTAAAAGGAAATTGCTGTGTGATTTAGGGATAAAAAAGATCTGAATATTCGCGAATTTACAAATTGTGTTGTAGAATTGATTTTGTTGTAATTTTTGTTTTTTTTGTGCTTCCGTTGGTATTCTCAAATTTTATTTTTGAAACCAATTGGTCATCGTTTTCTGTTTTTTTCTTTTTCCGTCTTCTGCGTATTTTGTTTTCCTTATGTAAGGGTGTTATTCTCTTTGGGAATTCTTTTATACGTATTTATAGTGTGAGGGATGTGTTTGTTTGTTTTGTAGAAGACGAGAAAAGAGAAATTAACTCTTGATCAAATCGTGTTTTTTTTTTTTTTTTTTTCTTTGTGTATGTGGTTCTTGGTACTTTCACAGCAGCGTTTACGGACTTTATAATATGAGAGCACAGGAAGTGTAAAGAGAAAGAAGCCTGAAAAATGAAAGAGTGGAAGAGGTGATATTTAAAGCTTTTGGCAAGATAAATAGAACAACTTTACATGTTTTCGTTTCTTTTTTTTTCTGTGTTTCTTTTGGTCTTCCTTGACATTGATGGGGGTAACAACCTTAACTAGGTGAGAAGAAACAAATAGGAAAACCAAAAGAAAAAAAAAATAATAATAAAAGAACAAAACAAAACAAATAAAGTAATACCAAGATTAGTATAGTTGAGTTTATATATATATATATATTTTTTTTTTTTATACTTCTGCTTTCGTTATTGTGAGATGCCAGCTCCACCGAAGGCGGAGGAGGGACGCATCACGGTGTGTGTTCGTGCCCGTCCTCTTAATGAGCGAGAAAAGCGTCTGAACTCACCGCTCTGTTTGCTTTTTCGCGGTGGTACTACCGTGAGTATTTACAGAAAGGCGGTCTCATCAAGTGGTGGAGTGGAAGGCGATGAGGCTTCTGGTGGGAAGGCATTTACATTCGATCGCGCCTATGACTGTGATGTTGGGCAATCCACTGTGTATGAGGATTTGGGAGTGCCGGTACTACATGCGAGTGTTAAAGGATTTAATACATGTATATTTGCTTATGGACAAACAGGTAGTGGGAAGAGTTATTCTATGATGGGACCATCCGGTGGGCGAGATTTGGTTGTGGATCCGGGAATTATTCCCCGATTATCCAAAGGTCTCTTTGCAATGTTAGGTAAATTAGTGGAAGAGAATAAGGCGGAGCGAGAGAAGGCAGTTTCATCTGGTATTCCAGAACATTCCCTTCCTCCAGAGTTAACAACAATTGTTGCAGTAAGCTATTTGGAGATTTATCAAGAACGTGTAAACTGTCTTTTAAATTCAAAATCTGAGAATCTCAGAGTTCGTGAACATCCTGTAATGGGAGTATATGTGGAAGGTCTTACAGAAGTACAAGTAGATTCAGAAGAAAGTATTTTGAGGCTTATGAACGGTGGGAATCAATCTCGTCATACAGCAGCAACAAAGATGAATGATCGTTCCAGTAGATCTCATGCTATTTTTGCCATTTCATTAATACAAAAACGAACTAGCAAAACAAAAGAGGGTAAAATGGCTTGTACAGAATTACGATCAAAAATTAATCTTGTCGATCTTGCAGGTAGTGAACGAGCAAAATCTACTGGAGCTGAAAAAGAAACACTTCGTGAAGGTGCTAATATTAATAAATCACTTACGGTATTAGGTCTCGTTATTAGTGCATTAGCAGACCTTTCTAAACAAAAAACAGATGTAACAGCTGCTAAACATATACCTTATCGTGACTCTACTCTCACTTTTATCTTAAAAGAGTCACTTGGTGGAAATAGCAAAACCTTTATGCTCTCTACACTTAGTCCAGCAGCAGCAAATTTTGATGAAACACTAAGTACATTACGGTATGCAGACCGGGCCAAATCTATAGTAACACGAGCCACTATTAATGAAACAGCTGGTGATAAGAGAATACGAGAATTAGAAGAAGAAGTTAAATATTTACGAGAAAAAATGCAACACTATAAAGAATTGGCTGTACGTGGAAAAGTTTCAAATGATGTTGGTAAATTATCAGAATCAACGAATCGTACATTTGCTGATGATGAACCTAAACCAGATGATTATACTGCTGGTGGTGATGAAGAAGAAGTAAATTATATAAATGCTGTAACTCCACGTCTACCTCGAGATGCAGCAGCGTTAGAAGCAGAATTACACCGTGCAGAAGAATTTATACATAAACTAACTGATGTTGAGAAAGGACGTATGGGGTCTCCTAATGTATTGGAGTTATACCGTGATACCTCTACTATAAGAGCTAAACGCAATGAACCTTTTCTTCTTAATGTGGATGCTGCTGGAGATTGGGTAATGGAATACCTTGTGGCTGGTTTAACTTATTTAGGAACAGAAGCAGGTGAAGAAAGTAATGATACTCACTATATTATAGTAAATGGACCTAATACTTCTGGTATTGCCCCTCAACATTGTTGTTTTGTACGTCAAGAACGTGGACAAATATTTATTCGTCCTTTAAAAGATAATGCCACATATATAAATGATGAAACAGAACCTTTACAAAAAGATACACTTCTAATAAGTGGTACAATGATTTGCATTGGTGATGATTATTTACAGTTTAAATTCACAGATCCTTCTGCAGTTCAACTCACATCTCGACGAAGACCTGTTCGTGGTGTAGATGGTACCCCAGTTTCTTCCCCTTTAACCACTAATATGCTTTCAAAAATACAAGGAGGTGAAACGCCTAAAGGTGTACCTTCCATCACTATGGGTAGTAGTGTGGCTTCAGCTACACCGCCTTCAACGACGGGAATTCCCGCTATTCCATCACTGCGATTAAAAGAAGTTTTGCAACGACGTTCTCCCGGTAGTGTTCAACCAACAGCAACAACAACAGCAACAACAACAACACATCAGGATCCAATGACACCTGGTGGGTCAACCATTATACCAAGTTCACGAACTACTCGCACTGTAGGTTTAACTCCAAAAGCTGCACGAACAACAGGGAAGGTTATGTTTGCACCAACAGAAGAAATGGATATTGTATATCGGCATACGTTTCTATTTTTGGGAGCGAATAACTGTGGAAAAAGTGCTTTTCGAGAAAATCTACAAAAACCTGATAAATGGTATTCCGCTTTTGCTAATGATAAATTACATGTACAACCTACTTTTGGTGTGGAGTCATCATTAATTGAAACTCCAGCTGGATATCATCCTGTACAAATGAATTTAATGGAATTGAGTGGAAATGGTTGTTTTTCTCTTCTTGAGGGTATTTTACCTACTAGACGAGTGACCTACGTACTTTGTTTCTCGTTAAAGGAATCTCCTTCTTTGGAAACATTACAACCTCTTTTGGAGTTTATTCTTTGTAAAACTACTACTCGAGATGCGACTGTGGTTCTCATTGGTACTCATCTTGATGAAGCTTTTCTTAACCAAAGCGAGTTAGCACGTTTTTTTGCAGATATTGAAATGGAAGTCAATAATTATTTCCGTCTTCTTCAAAGTGTTGCCGAGATGCGACCTACTATTGTAGGACATTTTGCTGTAGATAATATCAATCGTACCGTCTTTTCTCCATCATTTTCAAAGATGAAAAGATTTCCTGAATTACTTACTTGGTTTGGAGAACAATCTATTCAACGATGTCGTAATGATTTAGACTTTCCAAATGCACAAATACCAGTACGTACAATGTTATTAGCTAAAAAAGTACGTGAACTCTATCATGAAGGAAAATGGTGTATCTCTTCATCTGGGTATAAAGTAATGGCAAAGGCTTTAGATGCTCGTTATGGAATGAATTTGGAAGAATTACATCGACATACACAACTTTTAATGAGTTGGGGAATTCTAAATCATCACTACAGACATCTTACTATGAAGAAAAATATTATTTTGGATGTTCCTTGGGTATATCGTTTGGTGGCTGTACTTGCCTGTTGTACACCTGTACGGGGAAATGAAATACCAAGTGACTCTTCATGGCGACCATCACCGTTTTTAAGTTGTCGAAAGATGGTTGAACATCTTTCTCCTGTTCTTCCATTTGATGCGGATGAGGTTTTGGATTCTGATGTTTGTCATGTTCTTAATAGAGGGGTATTAACTATAAAAACAGCTAGAATTCTTTTTCGTAATGTTTTGGCAGAAAAGAAATTTGGGCTTAGTCATCTTGATGGATTACTAGAGTTATTACGTAGTTATGACTTTATTATTATGGGAAGTCGTCTTAAGTTATCTTACTTCTTTGATGGTTTACAACGATATAAAAAAGATGCGAATGGAAAAGTTATTTCTACAAATAATGGGGGTAATGATATTAATGTTTATGAAGATGATGATGGCAAAGAAGATGATGGCTATAATAGTGATGAAGAGGATAATGGTGATGATGCAACAAAGACTACTACTACCACTACTACTACTACTAAAGAAAATAATCGAGAAAAGGGAGTTGAAGAGGATAAACTACCTGAAAAAAATCCTAAAAAACAACAAGAAATGTTTGTTTTAATACCTGCGTGTTTTACCAGTCAACCACCCTCCGCTTTTTGTGTGCATTTACCTTCTTTTTTGTTTGGACCATTTTATCGCTTTACGCTTAATATGGTCCCACATAATTTTTTCTCACGTGTTATCTGTCGTGTATCGCAGTATGCAACGAAAGTGTATTTGGGTCCTGTGAATGCCCGTCGTGTGGATATAGAAGACCTTTTAGGTGGCGATGAACTCAGCAATGGCAATAATAATAATAATAATAATAATAATAATAATAGTGATAGAGGTAATGTGAAGAGTACAACACATACAAAGCCGCATGTAACGGCCTGTGTGGTGGATAAGAGTCAATTTTGGGATAATGCGGCGTGGGTGGTTGGATCCAACACCAGTCGTGCGTTACTTCGTATGGTCCAACACTCTCTCTTTGTCACTTTTCACGATTTTGATGATGATGGGGAATTCTACGATGGTCTTCGTTATATTGTGCGGAATATTGTTTATGAGAGTCCTGGGGTAATGTGTGATGAGAGTATTCTCTGTTCCCGTGGGTGGTTGGAAGAGGATGAGAAGTTTGGGGAGGAACACGGGGATAAGGTCTATTGGCGTGGAGTGGATGAGAATATTAATTCCCTCGAGAAGATTCGACAACGGGAACAGTTTGCACTCATGACAGCACGGGTGAATAATACCTCTCGACCCATGTATGCTAATCGTAATAATAATAATAATAACAGTCCTGGTGCCAATAATAACAATAGTGATAATAAAGATAAGAGTGAAGAAGAAGATCCAGATGTGGTGATTCCATTCGTGCGAAATCGTATGGACTGTATTGATGAAGAGGCATCATTGCGGCGTATCTGCGCAGATTCTCTCTTAACAGACGGTGTGCTGCAGGAAGTGAAGACGGCACTGCACGCTATTTACATCGCACAGCGCCGTGGTAGCTTCACCGAACAATGCTGCGCTACGGATAGACTCGTTGATGCACTCGCCCAGGCATAACGAGAAGAGAAGAGAGAAGAGAAGAGAGAAAAGAATGAATACGGATTACATCTTGTCACTATACATCACCGAGTAGTAACTATATAAGGAATTATATATATATATATATATA